ACGTTACAACTTTCCGCGCTAAAAAACATGCGCTCCCGAAACAGAAAGGGCTCCCGGACGCACGAAGTGACGCTTCGCATTGGTGGAGAAGCCCTTGCCCGTGAGCATCACCTGACCCAGCCGAGGTCTGACCATCCAGTTGATCAAAATGGGGAGATGTTCTGTGAGAAATCTGCCATCAACCTACCATGACTGGTGATGCGGTGATGCTTTATACAACCCATAAAAATGGTGATTTGGGGCATGGTTTATGGCATTGGCTTTACCACATTAATGGGGCCGGGATAGCGTCTGGCAATCAAACATGGCTAGCTGGAACAGTCTCCATTTCGTTCGATGATCAGCGAAAAAACCTCCATTTGCAGGGGATTTCCCAGTTACGTTTGATTACCGAAGAGATTTTCGATGGTATCTAATTGGTGGTTGACCTACCCCCCTGAAAAAAAATGTCAGATTGGATCATCATCCCAACTATTGGGGAAAATTATGTTTTTTTCCAAACCCACAACCAGGTGTACATGTGTATAAATTATTCAATGGTGGAACTTATTTGGGATATTCATGAGATGATGAGCAGATGAGTATTTCAATGGCTGAGAGCATCAGCTTTTTTGTTTTGTGTTGTTTCAGCCATTTATTGGGATAAAACAGGAACTAGAAAAATGGGCTTGTGAATCAGTTGATTATGGATCAATACCAATATAGATGGAGAGTTCATTGGATAATCTAATAGTATCTATATCATGCAATATTTCAATGGCCATTTCAGGAACCTAAATTGGAGGTACCTACCATATATATAAGGCCTATGTAAGGCTTATGTAAGGGAATATCCCCAGCAAAATATGGCCTGAAACATGGTACTAACGTACCTCCATTTTAGGATCCTGGAATTCCCATTGAATATTGCTGATGTATATCTCGCCAAGTTGATGCAACGGATTCGACCCTTTGATCGCGGATCATTTTTCTATGACCTGCCGATGGTGAAGATCCATCTAGCTATCGAGCGATGTTCACCGGGCAGGGTTTTGGTTCTTATCACACTGCGCAAATTGTCGTTGTGGGTCACTGGTGAACATCACTTTTTGGTTGTTGATCAGTTGTCATCAGCGCTTAAATTTTCTAAAATGTTGTTATAAAAGTCACGGAAAAATGTATAGCCCACGGGGTACGTTTAGTTATATAGCCAGTAAGCATAGCACATGTTGATTACTCGAAATATCTCAAAATGACATGGTTCAACACACATGTTTCTTTGTTTGCCAGCACATCGCCAAAATTGATCTGCTAAAAAAAACTCCAACTAATCTCTCATTCAAGTCTAAATATACGTATACTGTGTAAATATATATATAATTAAATATATTTATATTATACTGGTATTTCACCTTGTTTTATCTCACGAAGCCGCCTTCTTCTTGGCGCCGGCATCGTGACTGGCACCATGTTTTCCGGCAGCGCACGGCAATGAAATTCCAAGCAGTCACTCAAAACCACCAGGCGGATGTCTTTTAATAGACCGCCTTACGTCAAGGATCCACAGTGTGGATAGTGGCAGCCCCCACCGAGTTGAGGGTGCCTCATGTTGCGCTTCACTTTGTTCACTTCCTCGTCTCAAACGAGTCCGGCTTCCCGTCCCTAGCTTTATGAAAAGGCCAACGACTTGCATTGGCTTTGGTTTGCGCACCCGGTTCTTCTTTGGTGCACATTTCATGTACTCCTGCTGAGGTTTCCCGCAGATGGCTAGCTAGAGCATGTAGACACCACCTACATAGCAAATAAGCATGGTCATCATCAAAGTCACGTCCTGTGGCTACAAGTCAAGTACCGTTTTGAAATACATAATCAAGTTTCGAGACAATATCATGAGTTTGTCTGATTTGGGGTCCCAAGAAAAATGATCGTGTATCTAGATTTTCCTTCATCGAAGGAAGTTTAGAAGTCCAACTTCCGACGATATGGACAGATGAAATGCAGAGCAGGGAAGAGGCAGAGAGAAGAGAAAGATTAGAAGAAAGACGAGTAAGAAGAAAGAAGATGCAGATGCGTGAAAAGGTAGGAAAGTCGCGAAACACTGTGTTTTTCCAATGATGTGGGGCTCCGGAGGGTCGAAAAGTAGGCTCGCTAAAGCGGCGGGTGCGGAGCCAGCTCGCCAGATGAGAGATGAAAAATTGCACGCCGTTGTGGCGCGAAGCACATTTCGAAGTCAAAATGTACAAAACACACCATTCTCGGACCACTTTTGGAAGTTGAGATGTCGAAAAAGTGCACGCCGTTGTGGCGCGAAGCATTTCGAAGTCAAAATGTACAAAACACACCACCAGCTCCGGACCACTTTTGTCAGTTGAGATGTCGAAAAAGTGCACGCCGTTGTGGCGCGAAGCACATTTCGAAGTCAAAATGTACAAAACACACCATGGTCGGACCACTTTTGGAAGTTGAGCTGTTGAAAAAGTGCACGCCGTTGTGGCGCGAAGCACATATCCAAGTCAAAATGTTAAAAACACTAGGGTTTCGGACCACTTTTGGAGGTTCAGATGTTGAAAAAGTGCACGCCGTTGTGGCGCGAAGCACATTTCGAAGTCAAAATGTTTAAAACACTAGGGGTTCGGACCACTTTTGGAGGTTCAGATGTCGCTTCGCTTCACTACACTACATTACACTACACTACACTCCACTACATTACACTACAGGACATTACACTACACTACACTCCAGTACACTACATTACACTACACTACACTCCGGTACACTCCACGACACTAAATTACACTACACCACACTACATTACACCACACTACATTACACTGAATGACACTGCACCACAGATAGACAGGTAGACAGATAGATAGATAGATAGATAGATAAATAGATAGATAGATAGATAGATAGATAGATAAATAGATAGATAGATGGATAGATAGATAGACAAATAGCTAGAAAACTAGACAGCTAGATAGATAGGTAGGTAGATAGATAGATAGGGAGATAGATAGATAGACAGATAGATAGGTAGACAGATAGATCAGTAGGTAGGTAGGTAGGTCGGTCGGTAGGTAGGTAGGTAGATAATCAGAGAAAAATAGAGAAACAGAGAGAAAAAGAGAGAGAGAGAGAGAAAAAAAAAAGAGGAGACCTCAAGCACCTTTCAGTCCATCAGTGGCTTCGCTCTGCCATCCGTGATTCACAACAACCAACCTCTCCTATAAGTTTCCTATTTTTGAAACTTCCGCCACCGCCTTGTGCGGTACTACTGGTACGGTATCCCCAATTTCCGACAAAATCATACACCCAATATACCCTATATTGTTGGTTATGTCACTGCTGTATAAAGTAAATTCCAGTATATTGTTATATATATATATATACTGTGTATATCTCTATTAAGTGGTTGATCCCCCCAAATTGTATTGGTTGAATCATGCGTTTTTTTGGGGGGGACAAACCTCCATCACTACATTGGTATTTGTTTGGCTGCACATTTATCCTTAAATCGCATGTTTATCCCATATGATAACCTGTTCTAGCCCCAAAAGTTGGGTATGGCTCAAAATTTTCACAAAACTTCGGGAACCACAGATGTTAGTCGACTCAACATGACTTTTCACCATGTCTTAACCATCCATTTGGGGTACCTGTTGACCCCAGGAAACCTTAAGGGACCGTTCCGTGCCGTGGCCGCCTTCATTCCACCTTTGGAGCCAGAGTTGGGTGTAATAGCCTCCACGGTGAGGCTCTGCCTGGGCGGCGTGGAGTTTTTCTTGGCGAGTTCAGGCGGCAGGAAAAGACTAGATAGTTGGACCATATTGAATCTATATGTTTTTAAAACTAAACTAGATAGTTGGACTAGATAGTTCTATCATCTTAAAGACACATTTTTAGAAACTCTAGTGAAATATTGGACCATATTGAATCGATTCATCTGGTTGGTGGTTGACATACCCCTCTGAATGATGGAGTTCGTCAATGGGAAAGATGACATCCCATATATGAAATGGAAAATAAAATTGGAAAATAAAATTCACGTTCCAAAGCACCAACCAGATATGGAGAACCACTGGTGAGTTCAAGAAAAATGAAGCCAGTGAAGCCACCAGAATGCTAGGTTTAAACACGTCACTATGGTGATAAAATATGATGACAAGCAACATGGGAATTCACCGTGAAGAAATCCGGGCTCTGGATCAATTTTCATATCTCTGGAGCTCTCTCTGAAATCTAAGGGTGCCACACCAGGGGTACAAACAAATTGCAGCTTAAAAGGAGTGTATCTGATACTGTATAGATTTTACTCCAACTCGGTAAAAATATAAGGTGCTTGTGAAACCCCGGGCAATGAGGGGTTAACTTCTGTTTTCTTGATCCATGTTCATTGTCAAAAAGCTGTTCATCATTTGTTTCGAAGCTGATAGGACACGTTGCATCAAACACCAAGAAATCGAATCTGAACATCAAGCCCTGAGAAGATACAAGATAAACCAAGCTAGGTGGATACCAAACCTTGGGGCTGCAGTTCCAGTTTGAAGTGCTATGTCCATATATCATATTTATAGGGACCCCATGGGACCCCAACTTGCGGAGACTTGCACCATGGTTGTGCCCATACAAATCATAGTTAAACTGCAATTAATCCACATACTACAAAAAAACTGCAGTTATGCACATCCTGGTGAAATCTCTAACCTTTCTCCAACTGGGCCCCATCTATCCCAGCCATTCCTCACTTTCGGCTTCTTTTCGCAGCAACTGCCACCAGCTCTGTTCAAACGAAACGCTACCCAGTGGCGCGGAACCCCAGTGGAGACCCAGTGATCCAAGGAAACTGACAAAATAACCACTAATGCGGTAGGTCCAGTGCCACAAACAAGCCTACCATTTAAGGGATTATTATTTACCAGCCGAAACAAGGGGAATATTAGGGTTCTTTATTGTTGGGCTTACCAAGTTACTCAATACATGGCTATTACAATCCCTCTGACGCAATGGATACAACTTATAGCACATCTATTGCAAGCCTCACTGGGTGAAACTGCGCCCCTCACACACCAGCGAAGATCAGCAGTGAGCTACTGCATATGGCTAACCTCATCAGAAAAAACAGTAACTCGGCGACCAAAGGTGTGATCTTTGAACAAGAATGTGACTTGTCCCTGATGTCACCCTGAAAAATCCTGGGCGGGGATTGGATGCCCAATCAGCCAGAGGGCCCCTGCAAAAAGATGACAAAAATCTTAGCTGGTGAACGTAGATAATCCCATTGATACCAAAAGACTATCTGGGATGAGTTTCTACCCATCCAGTCGATTGACCTAGTTATAGAACTGTTGAATATCAGATGGAAGTCTTGGATTTTACCAGGGACCAGGCGATCTGTGTCTCATAGTTCCCCTTCATCCTTGGTCATAATTTCCCCTTCATTGTTGATGAAATCTCGTTTGCTCCATAACCTCCTGCTTTTTGTTAGCTGGTTCAAGGTTCCTACACCTAAGCGGCTTCGGTGATCACTATTCTCATCATTCTTATCTTAGCCAAAATCATCCAAACATGCATCTTAATTGTTCCAGCAAATCCCCCCTGAATTATGTTTGTCGTTAGTTTATAGCCCCATCTGATATATCCACTGTAAATCCTACTGTAGTCAGCCTGATTTGATCTATCATGAATAACTGGTTGGTGGTATACCTACCCCTCTGAAAATGATGGATTTCGTCAGTTGGGATGATGAAATTCCCAACTGAATGGAAAGTCATAAAAACCATGTTCCAAACCACCAACCAGATAAACTATCACTCCATGCAAATCCTCATCCTTCGTGAAATCCACATTCGTTTCCTGATTAAATCGTCATGTTCCTCTCGGAACGTGAAGTCCCCAACCCGAACGCGAGTTCGCGGACGCCAAGAGGCTGCACAGGACCGAAAGACGCGTGATCCCAGTCAAAACAGAGTCCCGTCCTAGGTTTATGGCATTAGGTTGCCCGCATTACATACAGTGTGTGTGAATTGTAAAGATAAATGGATAATTATGTAACAATGTTTATATCTGTTTCATTATGTTTCCAGAGGTACATGTTCAACCGCACGGACTTAGCTTCAATTCTGGCCACTTCACTTTGATTTGCCCACGCATGCTGCATCCAAGAATCAGTAAGGGAAGCAACATCTCCTGCACAAGACTGAGTCACCCCTCTCACCTTTCAAATAGAACAGATAGAACAGATAGAACAGATAGAACAGATGGTTTAAGAGTTAAGATCTGTTAAGATCTGTTAACCAATGGTTTTTATTTATTCTCCTACAAGATGGTGCCCCAGTTCGTGAATGCAAAGTTGGTGGATAACTCCAATGACTCACGTCATGGTTTATGGTATATATATATCTATACTTACTATGGATTATAAATCAACAAACATCACTGGGGGGCACCACCTTGTAGCTTTTAGGTCCGTTTAAGATTCTTTTCTATACCCTCTGGTAAACTAACAGTTCGCTATGGAAAATCACCATGCTATTAATGGGAAAATCAACTATTTCTATGGCCATGTTCAATAGCAAAGCGTTAAATTACCAGAGGGTAAGTTGCTTTACCTAGCCACCAATTTAGCCATCTAGACCCCACCAATTTTGCATCCAAATCCCCCATGAAATCCAACTGGATTTGCCCTCAAAAAAAACATCGATATATGGAAGAACTAATCCATTTATAATTATCAGCATGTTTGATGACTGTAAACATATTACACATATTACATCATATATACATAATGTATGACATCATATCAACATAATGGATTGCATTTATTGATATTTATTGCTATTAAACCACCATGTCTCTTCATGATATCATTACTGGTTGGTGGTATACCTACCCATCTGAAAAATATGAAAGTCAAATGGGAGTATGATTCCCAATATAGGGAAAGTCATAAAAGCCATGTTCCAAACCACCAACCAGATTACCCTCTGGTAAACTAACATAGCTATGGAAAATCACTATTTTTAATGGGTAAATCCACTATAAATGGCAATTTTCAATAGCTATGTTAAATTACCAGAGGGTAAATTCATTCAATCAGCTCTTTTTGACGACCATTTGTCCCCATGTTTTTTGCAACGCCAAGCAACGCCCAGAGCGGCACAGGCCACAGTGAAGCCTCGCACAAAGGGCTTTTGACTAAGGCTCTGGCTGTTCATCCTCCCATTCAGATTGGTAGTGCAGTTCTTGACCCATACCCATACAGACTTGTATCATATGGGGATGGGTCAATACCTATAGATACATTTTTAGTGGGATGAACATCCATTTCCCAGCTATTTTGATGTTCACCAGGGGTACAGGGTTTTGACCCATCCACATATGTAAGTACCCTCTGGTTATTTGTTACATAGCCATGGAACATTGCCCATAGAAATAGATGGTTTACCGTTCTTAAAAATGGCTGGATTTTCCATGGCAAACTGTTAGTCATAACCAGATGGTAATTGTTGCATAAGATAATGATGATACTGGTTGTTTCACAGTGTTTTAATCTATGTGGTTTCTCACTGATATTCATGGACCCAGTCGATCGCAATTTTCAGACCAACTCAAGCCCATTAAGATACGATAATTTGCTTTAGCTGACTGCCACATTCAAATTTCATGTCAGTTTTTTTGGCTATTTCACCTCAGATAGGCCCAACAGCCTGACACTCAATTGATCATTTGAGCAGTGTTCAAAATCCCTGTATCATTCCATTATACTGGTTGCTTTATAGGGATTCCCAAATTGGATTATTGTAGTCCCCGATATATTGGCTAGTATAATCCCCAAACTAATCATCAACCAACAGGGGTTTTGAACACTGCTCATTTGCCAAAAAAATGAATTCTTACAGTAGCTGGTTAGGAGATAACCCCATACCAAAAGACTAAAGGATTCAACTACCCATCTAAGATTGACCTAGAATTCATCATTTGTTGATGAAACATGACGCGTATTTTACCTCGAAATGCCCAGAAAATCCGCCTGCTGCTCGTCCATCTAAGGGTTCAGGTGCCAACTTCTCCTGGACGGAGAGAGTCTCTTGGATAAATTTCAAGCAACATCCAACAACTCCAGAAATCTTACATCCCAAAAACAAATATAAACCATAAGATGGATCCAAAACATCTCATCACACATGCTATAGAAATTCGAATTTCCTGTGTTTTTTTTGAATTTGGCCCGAATACGTGCTGGTTGCTGGATACGTCTTCTGACTTTCTGGTTGGTGGTATACCTACCCCTCTGAAAAATATGAAAGTCAAATGGGACTATTATTCCCAATGTATGGAAAAATAGATCACCTGGTTGGTGGTGCAATAACCATCTTGAAAAATATGAAAGTCAGATTGGATCATCATCCCAACCATTGGGGAAAATAAAAAAGGTTTGAAACCACCAGCCAGTCACAGTATTTTTTGCACGAGTCTTTTGGGCAGCCCATCTGAAGGCTGTGCCTCTTCCAGGTGCTCCAACAACTCGAAAAGCGAACTGGAAAATCACAATTCGCCCAATAGGTACAGGTAAATCAACTCATTTCTATGGCAAGTTTCAATATCAATAATAATCAATAGCTATTATCATCAATAATTTTCAGTAATCAAATCTTTCTCTCTATGATCCATACTCTTTCTATGTTAAATGACCAGAGGGTATGGATCTCTACTTACCCGCTGTGTTCTTTTCGTTTATTCTTCGATGGGGACCTCAGTCAGGATTCGTCTGCACGACACCATCTTCCCAAGGCACTGTAGATTGGGTAAATTATGAGTTATACCCCAGTTATCTATGGGATATCCCGAAAAACCTGATATTTCAATTTGTACCCCCCAAAAAAGTAGGCAGATGATTCAGTAGGTGTATATATACATATGGGATATCCCCAGTTATGGTTACAGTTACCCTCTGGTAAACGTGTACATACTGCAGCTATTGAAAATGGCCATTTATAGTGGATTTACCATTTAAAAATGGTGATTTTCCATAATTATGTTAGTTTACCAAAGGGTATAATAATTCACTAACCTGAATTGTTGGGCCATTTGGGGATGATTTCCCTTATTAACATATTCTGTTTATCAAACTGCCCATAAAAAATAATTATCCCATATTTCTTAGCACGTGCTGACATGCCACTTTTAGCCGTTGGATAATTACTATCGGTACATGCCAAAACTATGGAAAAAACTATCATTCCCCATCTAGGATTCACCCAACGCCATGCCTACCTACTGGAGATGATGCGCCCAACCACCCAACCTACCGTACCGTACGATGATCATACGGGGTATGGTGTTTTCCTGGCTAAAAACCACACAAGAATATACCCGGCCTGGTAAACGTAGAAACAAAAAACTATGGTAAATCACCATTCTTAATAGGTAAATCCACTATTTCAATGGTCATGTTCCATAGCTATCTTAAATTACCACATTATTATATAGGGTAGATATCCCAGTACAACTAAAATGGATTTACCACATCATGGGATAGCAAAAAAAAGGGTTCATTGATGATAAACTCATATGATTATGCCATTACTACTGGGTCTACAAATGAAATAAACAGTGCTTCATAGGAATCTGCGGGAGAATCCCAATAGTTGCCATGTATATCCCCATTATATCCCCATTATATCCTATAGATGTGCCATTTGCAGATGAGAATCAACACATAAACATGTAAACCCATGACATTTTCATGACAATTCCATGATTGCTTAAATGATCATCCAATTTCCATGAAAATTCCAATGAAAATCCCATTAATTCCCATAGAAATCCCATGAAAATCTATGAAAATCCCACTTCAATTAATTCCAATGAAAATCCCATGAATTCCCATTATCCATAGTGAAATCCCATCAAATCCTTATGGAAACCCCATCCTTATCATCAGAACCACCAGCTTCCGCCTCGGCCACCAGCAGTGCGCCCGGAAACAGCGGGCCCAGTGCGAAGCCATAGAGAAAGGTCGAAAGCACCTGAAACAAACCCGGCAGAAGCGGATCGGAACGCGGAGAAAAAACATCTACTGTAATTTTTTCATGGCTAAAAAGGCAATGTAATGATTCATATTCTAAGTGCAATGTTTTTTTCGATTTTTTGCTCCAAAACCTATTGCAAATCAGCAATGTGCCAATTTTGCTTTTCTCAACAAACCAAAAGTTTCCCAAACATCAAAATACCGTATATTGTAATATACTGTACTGTACGGCACTGTGCAGTATGTCATGTGCTGTATTGCTATATCTTTGTAGGATGCCATCAAACAGCATCGTAAAGGTTTCGTCAGCCCCAAAAAACGCTGTCCTCGGTGATGCTCAGCTGGTGCTTCAAGTCCGTTTGGAGGTTGTGATTCTCGGCCTTCAGATCTTCGATCAGATTCTCTGCTTCTCCACCATCATCTGGGTAAATTAGAATATTTCACTAACCTGAATTAAGGCCATTTGGGGATGATTTCGTTATAATTTACCCAGACCATCATCCTTTTGAGAACACCTCAGCCATCAGCTTCAAGTTCTCTTCCTTGACATCTTTGATTCGGTCCTCCCTCAGCACCAGTCTTCTCATCGAATTGATTGACCCACGTCCAACTGCTAAAAACATGGGAAATATATAAAATATATGGATTGTTTGATATTTTTCTGGAAATCATGGAGTTTTTGCCAGAAAACCATAGGGGAAAACCTTCAAAACACCATGGGAGAAATCAGTCGGTTTATGTTTCTGGCGGGAAAATCCAGTGGGGAAACTCCATGGAGACGATTTTCTGTGAATTTGCCATGAAGATTTTGAGTTGACCCTGGTTGGTTTCAACCTACCCCTCTGGTTATGGCTTAACAATGGTTTATGGTAGATATAACTATAGTTAATGGGGATATAAACTGCTTGGTGGTTGAGCCACCTACCCCTCTGAAAAATGATGGTTTTCGTCAGTTGGGATGATGAAATTCCTCGTCAGTTGGGATGATGAAATTCCCAACTGAATGGAAAAATAAAACATGTTTGCCAAGCATGTTTATGGTTCTACGATGTTCTACTATTAAAAAATGATGATTGGTTGGTGGTTTCAATCCCTCTGAGGTACTCTACCATACATATAAAACTACTGGTTGGTGGTGCAATAACCATCTTGAAAAATATGAGTTCGTCAATGGGAAGGATTATCCCATATATTATGGGACCCTGGTTGGTGGTTGACCTACCCCTCTGAAAAATATGAAAGTCAGTTGGGATTATTATTCCCAATATATGGAAAAATAAAACATGTTTGAAACCACCAACATATGGTTCTACTACCCTCTGGTTACTTTGTTACAAAAAACTATGGAAAATCAACACCATAGAAATAGTGAAATTTCCCATGAAAAATGGTGATTATCCATAGGTATGTTGGTTTACCAAAGGGTATGTTCTACGATTAAAAAATGATGATCTGGTTGGTGGTATACCTACCCCTCTGAAAAATATAATTTCGTCAGTTGGGATGATGAAATTCCCAATATATGGGAAAAATAAAAGCCATGTTCCAAACCACCGATCAGAAAATGATGATTGGTGTGTCAACGATTGGTCAATAAATTGCTGGGAAAATCTGCACAGAAACCACCGAGAATCATGTGATCACCCAACCCAAAGCATGATGAAAACAGCTAAACCCATCAAACTGCCCCCGAAAAAATGATCAACACATACCCAGATGCTCCATGTATGGAATATTTACCTACATTTACCCCAAAAATGGCCCAAATGTAGGTAAATATTCCATACATGGAGCACATGGGATATGATCTATTTCGGAATTTCATTCCAACCACGATAACAATTATTGGCGCCAATAAGAAAAACACCCTTAAAACAGCACAACCTACATACAACATATAACCCCTATGGATCCGTATACACTGTCTGAGAAGGTACATCATAGCCATAGTCAGACCATACCCCAGTCGTACTTTGAAGGTACAACTGGATCCATATAGGGAACATCGAGATATAAATCATATGAAAGATGGCGATTTCATGGGGATTTGAGGACTTGGCTATGAGTCAAAACCCTGGGACCCAAACGGTACCTAAAATAGCTGGCTAATGGATGTTGATTGCCACAAATATGGTAATAATAGGTTTTGACCCATCCCCACTTAAGGACTTTAGGATTGCCAGAAAACGGCAGCATCTTCCAATCGCCAGGGCACCACCAGCGGAAAGCTCTCGGAGAGGCTGAAGGCTGCCATTGAAGCCCAGGCCATCAGCAGGTGCAGCTGGATATAGCCTCGATGTCGGCACGGAGCCCCGTGCCAAACGGCACCATTCGAAGGAACGGTTGGAGGAACAAACCATGGAGAATTTATACAAGGTGGTGCCCCATAGTTGGCTAAGTTGGTTTACAAGTCCATCACCTAGGGTTGATTAGGGGGTTATATCGAACTAGTTAATGGGGATTATAAAACCAACTTATACTTGGGGGGGTACCACCTTGTGGGGATTTATATAGGGACTATTTTCCAACTAGGTGCTATCAACAACTATACTGCTATACTAGTGATATGTAAAAATGATATATCTATTTACATTTAGATACTACAAAGTGGTGCCCCAGAGCTAGCTAAGCAGGTGTATAAAAGCCATTAACTTGTTGGATATATCTAACATAAACCCAAGTGAAATTGGAGCTGCAAACCAATTTAGCTAACTATGGCGCACCATCTTGCAGGGATTTATAGGGTTTATACAGATTTACATCGGGATTTATATATATATATAGGGATTTAAAGAAGGGATTTCTGGGGATATTGCCAGATATTGCCATATTCTGGGATGAAACAGGATTTACCTTCTGTCTAGTTATTCTAGTTGTTGATCCACAAACCCCTTTCTGGCTTCTGCTTAATAAAACCCTTCTGTCACATCTGCAGTTTCAGGAAATTGCCATGTTCACAGTCAAGAAAACGGCTCATGGGCATTCCAATAATCCAGCATATGCGGCTGCTCCGATATATCATGCATGATATATCGTGATTCACATCGCATATCATATAAAAAATTATAAAATACCCTCTGGTTATGACTAACAGTTTGCCATGGAAAATCCAGCCATTCTTAAGAACGGTAAACCATCTATAAATGGGCCATCTATACCATGGCAAACAGTTAAATTTCCATGGGCCATTTACGAAAGGGTAAATCTAAACATTCTCAGCAGATCTCAGGATCTTCCGGACTTCCGTTTCCAAAAAAATGGAGCTGTTTGTCAACCAAAAACAACCGTTACCCGGCCTGGTAAGCCATAGGAAAACCATAGGAAAACCATAGGAAAATGGAGGTTTACCCTCTGGTAAACGTTTGCATAGCTATTGAACATGGCCCAGTCGAAATAGTGGATTTACCCCATAAAAAATGGTGGATCTTTCCATAGGTTTTCTGTAAAGGTTTACCGGAGGTTTCGCCAGCTTAGCCCAGTAAAAAAAACCATCTGACCCAGTGGTCAAGTCATCTTGCCGTGGCACGGTAATGATTCCTCGGATGTCATGGCTACGGGCCACGATGCGTATCGTACAGATGCAACGTGCGCAACGTGGCCCGCTTGGTACCCTCTGGTCAACGTTTACAGTTCGCGAACTGGAAAGATCCACCACGTTTTATTGGGTAAATCCACTATCTATACCAGGGGGTATCAGTTTTTTGGAGAGACCTTTGACATAATTGACGTGAAACCAATGACAAGTTGGGATGATCAAACGCATGATCTACCCGAAGTTAACTCAATGTCCAACCCCAGTGCGGCACTAGGATTTTTTCACATGTGGTTCCTAATTTGAAGTCAGAAACTACACAGTGATGAGATTTCAAAGATGTGTTTTTAGTTCCAGTTTTTGCAGACATCCTGAAAGTGCGCCATCCCCCCTTTTTTATGGCAAGAGAGCATGGCCCATATTAGTCGGGCGACATGGGACATGGCACCCTGCTACCCGGCCCTTCTGGCCACATCAAAACAGCGGGTTCTGATTTCCATCCCAACCCGAGATTGATCCAACCATGGATCATATCCCCACTCCCCAAGGTGTGTATATTATATATATATATGGGTAAATTATAATATTTCACTAACCTGAATTGTTGGGCCATTTGGGGATGATTTCCCTTATTAACTATGATTCCAGGGCTCGGTCGCAGTGAAGTTATAATTTACCCAGATATCATGTTTCCTATTCAAACGGCCATATCTTGGGGGTATACCCCATGAAATCAAGGTGTATATATATATATATACATATATATATATTATTATACACATATATATATACACACACACGCATGTACAAACGGCAGCAGAACTATCACAAAAAGAAAAACATGGATATCCGATATCTCCATATCGTTGATATGGTTACATCTGGTTCCACGTTGAAACCCTTACAATCCCTATCAAATGACGCTTAAATCCATCCTTCTATCACCATTTTCACTAGCCACTGTTCATTTTAGAAATCCCTGCGCGCCCTGCGGTTTCATTCCAAGCTTCACGTGCGGTGTGACCAGGGTGGCAGTCAGACCTCATGGCTCAATCACCCGAAACTGCTTCGTGAATCTCATGTGGGGGATTCTTAAAATGGACCTCAATAGCTGGATGGATTATTTCATGGAACATCCTCAAATAAAATGGATGATAACTCTGGGAAATCCCATATCTTAGGAAACCTCCGCATATATGTATAATGCCAACATCGGATTAATCAACCCCCCCCCTGGTAGGTAGGGGGGTACCTTCTGGCTAGTTTCTTGACCACCCCTTAATAGTAAGAAACTCTGAACCATAAAAATTTGGATAGGCTTACGTCAATTAGATCTTAATAGAATTCTATTGGATTTGTTAAAATCTCATGGATCAGAAAGGTGGTTGATTAATCGGGGGCAAACCATGGTTATTATTAATGGGGGACATGGGCTTATGGGGGGTACCCTTTGGGAGCTATCCAAACTGATGATTTTTATAAAGATTTTAATTAGAAATCGATCATTTGGGGAATAGTCATTTTTTGAATTTTTCAATGATCAACTTAAACCTTAAGTATAACAATGATTATTAAAAAAAGGTAAAAACAAATTGGAAATAAATAGAGCTGGAAATAAAAATTGTTGGATAAAAAATTGATTTCAGCACTGGTGGTTTTTTAATCGGGGGGGTTTATTCATCCGGGGGGACCACATTTTTTTTAATTACATTTTTTTGGGGGGGCAGAGGGGGTTGATTAATACCGCGGGGATTATTAACCCTAACTTGGCATTATATATATATTATATATACATATATATCCGTATATAAACCCAATAAGATACATTAAGTGTACGTATATATATATATATGTACCATAAACTATAGTTAAGTGGCTGAACTTAGTGAATCGAGCCGGTTTCTTTCGCCGAGCCACGCGCCAAGCTCAGAGCCGCCCAGTAAACGGAAGTGAGCTCCGCAGCTGTGACCTGCCGGGATGCTTGAAGCAGATTGGATGATGTAAATGGGAAGAATGGGAAGATACTATATGTATCATCTAATAACGCATATATATATATATACATATATATATATAATCATAATATATATAATCATAATATATATATATAATATATATATATACATATAATATATATATATAATTATATAGGATTGTGGAATGGGAATAATGTGACATGTAATGGGAAACTCACAGTTTGCTATGGAAAATGATGGAACATACAGCACATTTACTTCGATGATTCACCGGTTGAACATCGGTTTGCTTAAGAAGTTAGGGGAAAACCCCCAAATTTGGATGGCTCATCAGAAAAAAAGTGGCAATTCAGAGGGCAAATCCCTGATTTGAAGACAAAACCAGATGCAGAACTGGGACATCCGAGATGTTGAAGCTGTTCGGCACCTCTTTGGACAAACTTCTGGACTGTTTCAGCACTAAACATCTCAGCAAACCTGGAGACTTCACCGATTTTCACGACCCGTTCGGAACTTGACCTCATCATGGGTCAAAGCTTCCAAAATGGTGAATTTCTTGGGTTACATTGGGTTCCAACGGTTACAATCCAACTTTTCAGTGAACATCAATGAAGAGCAGACTATTTAAGGGGAATATTACCAACCACTTATGCGATATTTCCAAGCTACTGACCAACTGGCAGGCGTAAAAGGCATTTTTCTTCGTGGTTCGGCGTTTCGTCAGCACGTTGGTGCGACGTTCAGGAAGCCAGCAGTGAATGTAGACAAAATAGATCAAATAATGTAATCTGCACGGAGAAATCTCACCATGTTCAGGTTCTAAGCTAGATGTTTGAAACTTAAAGACTTTTGCTTGCTGAAAACATGTAAACATGGTTCGAAAAACAAGGTACGGAATCACCATAGACTGCTCCTTTTTTGTTTGCTTCATTGTGCCACAGCTCATGGCAAGTCTAGTAGCGATTCTGTCTACCACGGCAAGGTTCCGCTGACCGGAGAAACTACTTGGAAGAAGTTTGGATGAGTCTTGCAAACCTCAAATCCTCAAAATATCTGCTCTTAGCAAACAACAAATGCAAGTGAGTGCCAAATTGTTGTTTGCTACTTCTGTTGTTTGCTAAAGTTGTTGTTGTCATATCTGTGGCCAAAATATCTGTGGCCAAATTCATGACATCATGACATATGTTTCTGATATAGTTAAGGTATGGCCACAGGCCACAGGAAGATGATTGCTCTGCGCTCTGCCATGGCGAGGCCGATAGATTCACTAGGCTGCCGAGAAAAAGAGGGAGGCAGCCTGATATCCATGTCTACAAATAAGGTTAAAACAGTGCTTCTGTGTATCTATATCTAAATATCTAGAGTATACACATATATATATATAATTACATATAACTATATATATATATATATACAGATTGATTGATTGATATTAGCAAACTTAAATATAGCTTTTAACATCTTCAAACCTCATCCAAACATCAGTCCCTATAATGCCAATTACGGCACCCCCCCTCCCAAAAAAAAGGGAGCGGGGGGGGCCACGTTTTCGTTTTGACGGTGAGACAGTGCTGGGCTCAGAGCAATGAAGTCACGTTGGCATTACTCAACATCCGACAGTGCCTCGTTGCGATGGCGGTGTGTCAATTTTACCCACAGGGTTTGGGGCCCCAGTTGGCGAAATTGATCTAACTTGGTTTCGTTCACTCGGCCAACTAGGGTATCTATAGGTGGCTTCATAAACCAAGAAACTGAACTGACGGGCACCGCCTTGTATGGCTCTGCAAATTTAGGGGTAGAGATCCTCAATAATTCGATGCCTTAATCAGAAGTTTCCCTGAGAATGGCCACAACAGGGGGTACACCCTCAGCCCATTCTCAGCCAGATCCATAAACATCCATAAACCAGTCTGCTCTCATGAGGGTCTCAGCAACCACGAGGAATGTTTGAGAGTGGGAAGAATACCACCATGACTAACG